TTACCCCATTATCCCAGAAGTGTTTTGTTGTATGTTAGTCAATGAGGGAGGGAGAGAAAGAGAAGCATCGATGTGAGAAACATTGATCTGTTGCCTCCCATACACACCCTGAACCCACAACCTGGGTATGTGGCCTGATTGGAAATCAAACCCAGGACCCATTGGTGCACTAGACGATGCTCCAACCAACTGAGTCATACCAGCCAGGGCCAGAGATGCTGCTTTTACACCATACATTTTTGTTCCTTGTTAGTCCACATATCTCCATTGGTCAAGCTTCCATTATTTCTCTCACATAGGTGACTATTAGCGCCTCCCTAAATCTAATCTCTGCCTGCCCCATACCTGAACAGAGCAAACTTTAAAAATGTACATGAATCACTTTTCTGCCTAAAACTGATGAATTTCCATTATCTTTAGTCTGCAGATAAAGGCATATGTATCTCACCCTGTTCTGCCTTGCTCATTATATTCCCAAGGCCTACCATAGTACTTTTTCATAGTAAACTAGTAGCCCATTGCATGCAGTAGGCCACCTTCCGCTTCCACGGGGCCTGGTGAGAAACGCGCGCCACCGGGAGCCATGCTGCCTCCATGGGAGGTGGACCCACCGTCCCCTCTCCGGGCCTGCGAAGGCTGCTGGCCGGTCACCCTGTCCCCCAGATGCCCTCCGTCACCACGGCGATGAAGCAAGCATTCCACCAGGCCGCTCACACTGCCCCCGCTCAGCGGCAGCCCCCCAGGACTGGGGGACTCAGGCAAGGCTGAGGGGACTAGGCACCACCATCTTGTGGCTATGGGCGCCACCATCTTTGTGACAGAATGACAGTTAATTTGCATATTGCCCTTTTATTAGATAGGATATGATGCTCATATATTTAAGGGATGAATAAAGGAAGGAATATCTGAAAGGATCAAAGTAAAAATTGAGAAATTTATCCTATCCTTGTATTTTCTTCATGTTACGCTGTATGTGAATATACATACACATCTACCGCAATATGAACAAAATACTATTTGAATAAAATAATGTTTATCTTTGATGACTTTTCTCTCCTGTCTTTTCACATCTCCACTCTATCTCCATCTCATTATTTTCATTCTCTGCACCATTTTATTTATCTAAAGTTGCTGAGTTCAAGAACCCTGTTATCTTCTCCCCACATATTTAATGAAGGCCAACCATTGAAATTCATGTGACTTTTTTTTTAATTTATTGATTTTTTACAAAGAGGAAGAGAGAGGGGTAGAGAGTTAGAAATATCGATCAGCTGCATCTTAAACACACACACACACACACACACACACACACACACACACTGGGGATGTTCCCGCAACCAAGGTGCATGCCCTTGACCGGAATCAAACCTGGGACCCTTCATTCCGCAGGCTGACACACTATCCACTGAGCCAAACCGGTTTCGGCGTGAGTGACTTTTTTTTAAATATATATATTTTATTGATTTTGTACAGAGAGGAAGGAAGAGGCATAGAGAGCTAGAAACATCGATGAGAGAGAAACATCGACCAGCTGCCTCTTGTACACCCCCTACTGGGAATGTGCCCACAACCGATGTACATGCCCTTGACCAGAATCGAACCCGAGACCTTTCAGTCTGCAGGCCGATGCTCTATCCACTGAGCTTAACCGGTTTCGGCATGAGTGACTCTGATAAGCAAAGTATTTGGTATTCATGACAGTAAAGTGAAGTTTTTTTGGCGGTACTGTAAAAGTTAGTTGCTCTCCCATTAGAGAGTCAAATCCACTAGTTCATAAATTAGGTTCCAGCTAATAATGAGGCACAAAGCTGCAAGTCAAACAAGTTTCCTTAGTGAATAGTCTTTTTTTTTAATATATTTTTATTGATTTTTTACAGAGAGGAAGGGAGAGAGAGGGAGAGCTAGAAACATCGATGAGAGAGAAACATCAACCAGCTGCCTCTTGCACACCCCCTACTGGGGATGTGCCCGCAACCAAGGTACATGCCCCTGACCGGAATGGAACCTGGGACCTTTCAGTCTGCAGACCGACCCTCTACCACTGAGCCAAACTGTTTTCGGCACCTTAGTGAATAGTCTTGGCACAGAGTATGCCAAGGCTTTAAGAGAGCAGCAGAGGACTAGGTGGTTGTGATACATAGGTTAGTAAATGGGAGTTGGGGAATATTTTCCATGTGAGTCGGGTGGTTTCTGAAAGGGAGAAATGAAGTCTCATTTTGTAATGTCACATTCATTTATGAGTTGGCCCTGAAAAGCTGAGAATTAACCACGGCTTCTATAATTTTTGTCAAAAAATGAAAACTGTAGCCTTTTATTATTATTATTATTATTATTATTATTACTATCATTATCATTATTATTTTTATCATTATTATTTTAGAGAGAAACATTGATTCGTTGCCTCAGGTATGTGCAACCTCTTGGTGTACGGGCTAGCGCTCTTAACATGATTAAGCCAGGGAGAAAACTAGCTTTTTAAAGATAGGTTTCTTATTAGTTTTCACAGAGGAGCTGTGGCATAGTAATAATTTAATAGTCATTTACATGTGTTTGTGTTCCTGAGCCCTTTCTGGGAGCTATCTCATTTGATCTTCTCTTCAGTCAGCAGTGCAGTTAGGCAGGTTTTGTAAGTGATGAGCCAGCGCTGGAAGGAGCCCAGTAACCAATTAGGGATTGAAACCAGGACCACTGTTTCATCACCCTATTGCATCTAATCCCTATTACTAAATTTGTGTTGATTTTACGAACTTCTTAAGCTGAGAGCAGAAGTTAAGGCTTTGTGATCCACAGAGGCTTGCTTTAAAGGAATATGGAGACTGAAGAGAAAGATTGTTTTTATCAGAGAAGATGCTACGAATTTAATAGTTTAGTATAATTTTATTAAAAGTCATAGTACCTGGGGACATTATTTCTGTTGGTTTCAGCTCTTGTCTATACTGTTTTAGCTGTTGGCAGGTGTGCACACATTCACACCTTTACCCATTTTCCTAGTGTCTCACTGTCATCCATGCAGTCGTCTTAGCCACACAAAAAAGCCAGCACTCCCACAGCACAAAGGACCTTGTTTTTTGGGAAGAACAAAAGTTACAATAAAAGTGTCAGCTTTCTGTTTTGTTTTGTTTTTCCTAGTATGGAGGATGTGTGTGTTTTTTACACTTAACCAATATTAGGTAAAGATAGATTACTATAATCTGGTTGTTTTATAAAACCAAAGGAATAAATACTTGGAAATAATTTTTAAAACTGTTTGGTTCACTTTTTAATAATTATTTGAACATTTTGTTTTTTCCTGGCCATTTAAGTTCATATTCGTGGGGCTCGAGAATATCGCTGGTTGGTTGTCACATTTTCCAGTTCAGCATTAATCCCCATCCCAGTCTCTTGCTCATCCTCTGAGAGCTTTAAGCCATTAAACCATGTGCACAAGGAGACATCGTTTCTGGTTTATCTTCTTTGTGTATGCTCGCTAAGCTCCAGCTTAAAATACAACATTGGAAAATCATAGTTGCCATAAATGGGTCTCTTAGAGCTCTCAAATAGGCACAATAGTAAACAATTGGCATTCATTAATTTATTGAATCCTCACCACAAACCTATGATGTAATTACAGTGATCCCTATTTTACAGTCTGGTTAAATGTCAGTTCCTCCAGCTGTGTCCTTTGGCAAGTCACTTAACCTTACTTTACTTCAATTTCCTCATCTGTAAAATGGGGGTGATAACTTTCTCACCATTTGTGTGGTGAGGATTAAATGAAACCCACATAAAGCACATAGTGAATGCTTGCAGAGTTAGCTATTGTTATCTAATTAGTTTATATGATTAATGGCAGAGAAATCACTGTCACAAGAATCTAAAGTTTGGTTTCTGGTCCTCGCTCAGCTATTAAGTAGCTATGGGGTTATAGGTCAATTTTCCTCTTTCTGGGCCACAGTTTTCTTATACAAATTTTATTTTAACCTTTTTTTAAAAAATATATTTTATTGATTTTTTTACAGAGAGGAAGAGAGAGGGATAGAGAGCTAGAAACATCAATGAGAGAGAAACATCGATCAGCTGCCTCCTGCACACCCCTCACTGGGGATGTGCCCGCAACCAAGGTACATGCCTTTGATCGGAATTGAACCTGGCACCCTCGAGTCCGTAGGCCGACACTATCCACTGAGCCAAACTGGTTAAGGCTAAATGCGTTTTTAATTAAATGCAGAGTAACGGGAATCAACATGATACAAGAATCTCAGAAAAATCAGGGAAGACGTCATAAAGGGGACTTAGTTTACCAATTTGTCTGTATTTCTAAAATTTCACAGGTTTTTCTATCAAATTTTGCATTAGTTCATCCAATATATGTTAATATTTTCTATCAGTTTTTATTAAGCTTGCACCTGTATTAAGTAAATAAAAGAAATATTACTGATTTTATTTTTAAATTTAATGAAATAAAGTATATATTTCAAATGGTGATCAAGGATATACTGATTATTACATAAGGTTCACCAAATGATTTGGATTAATATAAAATGGCATTGAACTTTGATGTGTGAGAACAGTCTATTTCCTTCCTTGTTTCATCGAATGTTAGAATCAGACTAGCAGTTTATATTGGCTTTGTCACCACTCCAGAGCCTTTTAGCATCCCTACTTGAGCTGTATAAAGCTGCTGAAAGTACTGTTCTTGCCAACATTTTCTATAGAATGTATAAATGGTAGTGATGCTGATGGGTCTGTCCTCAATTCCATGTTTCCCTTCCAGGTTATCCAAACTTCAGCTGAGATAATAAACTACTTTGCAGAATAGGATTAGGGCTGATACAGGTTTTTTGTTTTTGGGGGGTTTTTTTGTTCTGTGTTAAGGGAAACACTGTGACACAGTTGGGATATGTTCAGTGGTTTAACAGGTAGGAGAGCCAGAACTATAAGGCCATTGTTGTAAGGTGATTTTTATTCCTGTATGCTTTTAAAAAGTAATTCCTTGGCCTTTATGCGTTTTGTTTCTGCAGTTTGAAGAAAACAGTTCTGAAACAAAGTCTTGCCCCACCTCACAGCTGCCTCTGAACACAGTGACTGCCAGCTCTCCAAACATCAAGTTCAGCTTTGTTCACCAACCTGTCTGATATGTCGGGACCCGTGCCAAGCAGGGCCAGAGTTTACACAGATGTTAATACACACAGACCTCGAGAGTACTGGGACTACGAGTCACATGTGGTGGAATGGGGGTAATTGTTTCCTTTTACTTCACTATATTCACCCAAAGGGCTGGCTTATGAATTTGTAGAGTAATTTATGTCAGACAACCTCTCTGACTGAGATTTGTAAACCTCAAGATTGAAGGCTGATTTGTGTTTTCTTCTGCAATGAAGAACCGAGATATTGCTTTGACAAATGAACAATTTTGATGAGCTTATCATTGAAGAATCATTTCAGTGTTATTCTTTGATTTATATATTCTGTATACAAAGCTGATGAAGAGTTACCTATCAACTTGCCTCAGCTAAGGGCTTTATGGTTAGATGAGAATTAAAACTTGAGAGATTTTGAAAACACTATAAACTCTTACATAAAGTGTTTTTGAGGGCAGAAAATGTTGTCCCATGATAATTCTGAAGAATGAAACAGTTCTCCAGAAAGGTGTCTTCTTTCTAATGAGAAGCAAAATTAAACCCTTAAACACTTGCCCTTATCATAAGACTAGACATGCGTAACATGGAATTCAGCCCAAATTCCACCTTGAACAGTTGCACTCTGCTGAAACAGCAGTATTTGCTCTCCTAATTCTCTGTGCAATCTCATTGGGATGTTTGCATTTCTTGTCCCAACATGGTATGTATTTAATTCATCAGGTCATACTTTTGTGGTAAGCTTTTTGACATTCAAATGCAAAAGAAAACTTTGAAAACTCATAAAGCTACAGCTTCTATATGCTATATTTTATACCTCTCCACATGTGGATAAATATAGACTCCAGAAATTGTGAGCATATTGAATCATGATTGGATTGTGAATCTTAACAGTTAAGTCATTGCCTCTGCACAAGGAGACATAGTGTACTTTTAAGATATACTGTCAAGAACCAGTGGTACAATACCTGTAAATGTTATAATCTATAATAATAAAAGTAATATGCTAATTAGACTGGATGTCCTTCTTGATAAAGCCGGGACTGGAGGAAAGCCAACCGGGGTCTCCGGTGCCTGCCTGTGGCTGGAAGAGGGAAGCCGGTGCCAGCAGCTGGGCAAAGGAAGGCCTACTCTTGCATGAATTTTCATACATCAGGCCTCTAGTTATTGATAATCTAACAATTCTCCTTATATCAGGCTTTGGGTTCTAGGGATGCCTCTCCATTTTACAGAAATTCAACTACTCTGTTCAAATTTAGTGCTCTGCATTTAGTTCTGCTAAAATAGCACTATTGAGTTTTTGACATGGTCCTATTCGCATGCTTGCTTTTATTTCCTATTAAGGGCCCAGTGCACGAATTTGTGCACTTGAAAGGAACTGTGGTCCTTGAGACTGCAGTAGGCCCAGGGGCAGATCAGGCAGCTGCCCGGATCGCCCCTCATGAGCAGGGGTAGGTGGAGAAGCCTTCAGGGGCAGTCAGGGCTGGCAGCCACCACTCACACCAGCTGACTGTGCCGAGCAATTGGGACCAGTGCGAGGCCCCAGCATCAGGTGCGAGCAGCAGCTCCAGCACCAGGTGCAAGCTCTGGGAGCAGAGAATTTTTAGAAACTATCAGAGGCTTGCCCCAATGACAGTGACTGGCACCCCACCTTGGTCTGGCGCCCCCACTCACCTGCTCCACCATCCCACCATGGCTAAGGTCCACCATGTTCCACGCTCTGCCACCTGCTGCCCACGCCTACCATGTTCTGCGCATGCTCCCCTGGTGGTCAGCACACATCATAGCGACCAGATGTTTGGTTGTTCCACCGTTTGGTTAATTTGCATATTAGCCTTTTATTGTATAGGCTATCTTCCCACAGGAGGGAATCTCAACCAGAACTAAGAGCACCCTTTCCCTCCACCTGCCATGACTATTATGTTCTTCATTGTTCTTACTACCTTTTGCCTTTTCTGTTTATTCACTTTCTTTTTAGTTGCTTGAGGAAAATTAATGGCTGATTTGTTACATGTTAGATTCTTAGTGTTTCCAGCAGGAATAAATAGAATTTAGATGTTACTAAAAGGACTATGCCATTCTTTAGTGCAAAGTGTTCTAAATTATAAGCAGGAGCAGAGAGAAAATGTTAGCGTTTTTGTTGTTTTATCTATGATATTTTTAGTGATCATGAAATAAATATGGGTAAAATAAAGGAAGAGACTCCCTAACTATGGTTCATGATCTATAATATAGTTTGCAAAACTCCTTTATGTGGACTATCAAGGCTTGCCTAGGAGAACAAGTGGGAGGTCAAGGTTATATACCTACAAAGAAGCCTATTCAAAATAGGCTGCTCCCAAAATGTGGCTGAATTGACATATTCTTGTAATGTGTATTTATTTCCTGCTAAGTGCCAATAGTGGGCCAGGCACTAGGAGACAGAAATATATAAAAAATTATTCTCCAAGGGAAAGCTTGTTGTTGTAGGTTAAGCATGTATAATGAATCCTAATACAAAAATCCTATTATAATACAAGCTATCTATGTGTCATATGCCAATATAGATGTAAACCATTTCATATTTGAAAGAATAATTGAGCCGAAACCAGTTTGGCTTAATGGATAGAGCATGAGTCTGTGGACTGAAAGGTCCCAGGTTCGATTCCGGTCAAGGGCATGTACCTTGGTTGCGGGCATATCCCCAGTAGAGGGTGTGCAGGAGGCAGCTGGTCGATGTTTCTCTCTCATCAATGTTTCTAGCTCTCTATCCCTCTTCCTTCCTCTCTGTGAAAGATCAATAATATATATATATATATATATATATATATATATATATATATATATATATATTTTTTTTTTTTTTTTTTTTTTAAAGAATAATTGAAAGGATTTGGAATGCGCCCATTTTTAATTGGCCCAATTAAAATAAGTAAACTGATTTGGAAATTATTTGAAATTAATGGCCTGATGCACAAAATTTGTCCAAAGGGCTCAGACCTCACAGCAGACCCAGCTGCCTCTTTGGGAGTCTCCTACTCACCCCATCCCCCAAACTGGCCATTCCCAAAGGTCATTCCACCATCCGGTCTAATTAGCGTATTAACTATCATATAGGATTATTATATAGGATACCTCATATTTCTTTTACTGGTAATAAATTTTATAAATTGAATTAGTGCTTGGTAAGTTGAACTTTTTAAATCATTGTGATTTTGACTCTTTTTTTACAGAAATCAAGATGACTACCAGCTGGTTCGAAAATTAGGCCGGGGTAAATATAGTGAAGTATTTGAAGCCATCAACATCACAAATAATGAAAAAGTTGTTGTTAAAATTCTCAAGGTGAGAGAGATTGTAATTTCAGAGGTTTTTGGAAGTTAGATTTGTTTTAATAGTGATGCCTTTTTTAAAGTAGCATTTGAAAGGGCGTTTGGAGTACTTTAACACCTTTATTTTGTCATCTGAAATCAATAGAGATTATCTTCATTTGACAGATCAGGAAACTAAAGCAAGAGAAGTGATTGGCTCTAGTCATACAGCTATATTGTGGCAGAGGAATGGAGTAAAGGTTCAGTCCTCTCTTTAAGCCTAATACTGATTTAATTTCCTCTGTTTTTAATTATATTTCATGCTTTTGTTTTCAATAAATTGTTACTTCTACAGTGAAAGGATGAGGAGTCACAAATGCAGGCCTTTAGAGGTCAGATAGATGACATGCAGCTAGTCTGATGTAAATGCCCATGATTAGAGGAGGTGAGTGATGGGTGCTGTAGTAGTGCAAGACCAGCATTGCTTGATATTCCTTTGCAGAAAGAAACTATAAAGATTTATATATGTATATAAATTCTCCTGGTTTATAAATGTTGGCTCCATTTTTAAAAACAACAACAACACTGTAAAGATTCTGATTGAGCATATGTAGGTGAATCCTGGAAATCTGTGTATTAAAAAAATTTAGGTAATGGATCATTAAAGTTTAATAGCCATTGATCTTGTTAATGAAGACATTATATATGTTTAAAATAATTTCTGAGAATTGTATGCAGTATGCAGTAATCTAAGGTGGCTGACACCCTGGGAAAGAGCTGCAGGTCCAGTACAGCAGGCACAGGTCACATGTGTCTGTTGAGCATGTTAGGTATGGCTGGTCCGAAATGAAATATGCTATAAGGATAAAATATACTAGATCTCAAAGGCTTAGTAAAATAAATATATCTATACTGCCCATTAGTAATTCTTTATATTGATTTACATGTTTAAAAAATTTTTGGATATGTTTTGTTAAATAAAATTTTTATTAAAATTAATTTTGTCTATTTTTTAAATGTTTTTATTGCTCTTTAGAGAGAGAGAGGAAGGGAGAGGGAAAGAAACATTGATGAGAGAGAAACATCATCAATCCTGCACACCTCACCCCCACACACATACACAGGGGGTTGAGCCCGTAACCTGGCCATGTGCTCTGACCTGGAATCAAACGGTGGCTTCTTGGTTCCTGGGTCAGTGCCCAACCGCTGAGCTACATTGGCTGGGCTGTTTATCTTTTTTTAACATGAGCACTAGAACATTGAAAATACACATGTGGCTTGCATTGTATTTCTTTTGGACCAGCACTGTTTCAGACTATTTAGGAGGAAGGCTTTGTGGAGATGGTACAGTTGGACCAAAGCCGCCCTCGGAAAAATGAAGAAGATTTCTGTCGCAGAGCAAATGTGGAAATGATGAGTGAGGACAAAAGAATATGGAAGTATGTTAAGGGACTCTGCAGAGTGGTCTTTTTAGAATAGAGAGATGAGTTCATTTATAGGAATACTGGTCATAAAGGCTAGGTACTGTGTCCCAGTAATATTTAGAGATCTCATATATTTTCCTTGATTCTTATAACAATCTTATGAGATAAGTACTCTTGTTGATCATTTTTCCCAAATGAAGGCTTAGAGAGGTCGTGTAACTTACCCATAGGCATACGGCCAGCAGGTCATGAAAGTAGGATTCACATTAGGGATTTTTTTACTCCAAGGCCCACATTTAACCCACAAGTTTATGCTGCACAAAGATGGTTTGGCTGTCCTTGATGTTGGTCCTGTTCACCTAACCTCTGTTGGGTATTTATTTATAGACTTACAGGAAGGAATAGAAAAAGTCTGTTTCATTCTAATTTGTAAAAAGATTTTTCAAGATTACCATTTATAATATAGTATTACCATTTATAATCCTAGTTTGTATAGTTGTAAAGAGTTAACATTTTAAGACTGATGATTGGAATTAAATGCTAATTCTGCAGAGGTCTAATCTTTGAAATGAAAATCTTTTTCAACATTTGCTAAGTAACCTACAGAGTGCTTGGCATAGGGCTAGGAGGAGGATTCAGAGATGAATCTGACACATTTCCTTCTTTTAAGGAGCTCATAATTATGTATGTATTACATTATCTGTTGAAATATCCTAAAATACTTTATTTCACTGATGTTCATACTTTTACTCTTTCAGCCAGTAAAGAAGAAGAAAATTAAGCGTGAAATAAAGATTTTGGAGAATTTGCGAGGCGGTCCCAACATCATCACACTGGCAGACATTGTAAAAGACCCTGTGGTAAGTATAGTGTGTGCTGGCAAGGCCCACCAGGGCTGAGGTGGTGTTTGACTCAGAGCACAGCTGGCCTCTCTCTGTTGCCCCCTCTACTGTTAAGTCCTGCTTTAAAAGTGCTTAATCAGTTATAGCATTTAACTAGTTTGGGTCTTTCTTTTAAAGAGACCTCCACCCACAGACTATTTCTTATTCTTCTAGGATAAGAGACTGATAGCACTGGAAACTGAAATGTGTTAATCCATTTTGCAAACTCAGGTCCGATGCCGATGGGCGATGGGCGCATTGTCGGGCTGCCTAGAGCCTGGTGAGACTTCAGCTCCATGTCTTCTGTTTGAAATCCATCCCAAAAATGACCTAAGTGTGGTGATCAGAGTGGGAGGGCTTATAGCAATAGAGGGATTCCTGTTACTGAGGCGAGGACTACCGAATTCACCACGTAGCATCCGCAAACATTGTGCTCATTAAAGCTGCCAGGGCTTTTGCTAATGTGTGTTTTCTGTTTCTTTTCCATAGTCACGAACTCCCGCCTTGGTTTTTGAACATGTAAACAACACAGACTTCAAGGTATAATATGTAATCAATTATTTCAAGCTGTTGTGTTTTCAGACCACATAAAAAGCCTTTTAGGGATATTAGTATTAGAAGAATTTCCTTCCAACTTGCTTAAAAGAGCTTTTCATCTTCCCAGTGTTAAATTATAAGATAGAAATACTCCTGTACAAACTGCCACTTTCCACGTCTTGGTAGTTTGCACTTTTATTTGTTGTGTGCTCTCTCTAATAGCCAAATACATTTACTTCTCACCACCTTTGCCATTCACTTAACAGTTTCCCCCGATGTTATATGTAATGAAAGCAGTAACACATGTTCAGTCAAGATCTGTCCATGGACATTTTACTTTAAAATGGCAGTGCTCAAGGTGGAATATATTGTGTATGAAAAGCAAAGTCTTCTTATACCTTAGGATTCCTCTGGGTTAGGGTAGTGTAAATTCTGCTACAACACATACCTCTACAACTGATCTCTGACTTTCTGCCCATCCAGCAGCCTACTTCAAACAATTCTCAATTCTATCAATAGCACAAAAGAAAAATATGAACACTCTTGGGTTTCAAGTTGTAAGATTATTTGACTTTTCTTTAAACCAATTCAGTATGAAGAATTTTAGATATCAATAAATGGATGAATTCTTTTGCTGAAATAAGAAGAAGAAAAAAGAACTGTTTTAGTATCAGAGCAATAACTTCAAAGAAAACTTCAGATGACATCACTAACAATTTAATGGCATGCATGTGTTGTTTTTTGTTTTTTTAAAGACCATAACTCTTTGGAAGCTGGAAAGAATACATAACAGTTGTTCAAAGTTTATTTCAAATTGGGAGAGGAATAATTCTGTTAAATTGGCTTGACAGATATGGCAGTGAGCCATCTGCACACTCTCTGGTGATCTACAGATGAGGTAGTTTCCTACTAAGGAGCTGTGTATTTGCCAAAATGCCTTTTATGAGAAAGTCTGGAAGTAAATGAAAAGCAAACTTGATTGCAAATGTATATCAATGCATATTGCTTAGATAAATGGTATATTCCCAACAGTGGATTTTAGCTTCAGAAATACAAGTTAAGTAATTCTTGACTTTTGCATATATAAAGACTCAATGTATCTCTTTATATATATATTATTGATTTTTCACAGAGAGGAAGAGAGAGGGATAGAGAGTTAGAAACATCGATAAGAGAGAATCATCAATCAGCTGCCTCTTGCACACCCCCTACTGGGGATGTGCCCGCAACCAAGGTACATGCCCCTGCCCGGAATCGAACCCGGGACCTTTCAGTCTGCAGGCCGACGCTCTATCCACTGAGCCAAACCGGTCCCAGCTCAGTGTATCTCTTTAAAGGGAATGTTATGTTGAAGATTAGAAACTGGTGTAGATATAGATCTTGGGATGATGACAAATGAGCCAAGTCTTGGTTTGAATTACTACAAATAAGGATGAGAAATTGCCTTTCGTCAGCAGTATTTCATGGCTCAAATGTTGCATTTGTCTTTAACAGCAATTATACCAGACGTTAACAGACTATGATATTCGGTTTTACATGTATGAGATTCTGAAGGTAAGGGAACTTTGAATACTAAATACCTTTAGATTGATCTTACCCTTGTTAAATAACTCAAATGACTATAGAAAAGTTAGTGAATTAACTTTTTAAAATATGTTGAAAGAAGGGGCCTTTTCATGTAAGTTTTTAATAAGTTTATAGCATCAGAGCTCTTCTGTTAATGTAAGGGTATGGAATAATGTCTAGTATGAATATAATTTAGAATGATTTGGAAAGGGTATTTAGAAGAGAGCTGGGGCCCCATAAATGTTTGTAATCTCCATCTTGCTCCTACGAAAGTTAACAGTTAAATTGTTCAAACTTGTAAATATATCCAGATGTGTTGGCTTCCGGTATACTTTATTTCACTTAAAATTGAACAAGTAAAACAAGAAACTTCCTCAGCTGTCAAAGGTCATTGTCCTAAAATAATATAAATCACTGCTTAGAGATTGATGATTTAGAGTGGACTTTGACTTCTAAAGTGAGATCACATAATTATCTTCCTCCTAGTAGTTACAAGATCAACTTTATATATGAGAAAATTGCTAAGAGTTAGCTCAAGTTTCTTATTAAATGAGGGATGATGTAAAGCCTGTATTAGAACCTTAGAAGTACCGTGAAGAGACTATGCCAGTAGAGATATTTGATCTTCCCATTGGCTCATGCAATCTTATGGCAAACAGGACTTAATAAAGTTAAGGATCTGCTTGCCTAGTTCTAGAAACCATAGGAACTCAAGTTCCCCTTTAAAAAGGACAAGAATTTGGCCAATGACATCAGCTGATCTAAAAGCTAGGATTAGCAAATCCCAAAGATTGTACCACTCAGTTCACCTTAGTTTGAGTTTGGACATGGTTTTCAAATTGGATTTGATGTCATAAATCAGGAGTTGGCAAACATCTTTATAGGAATAAACAGTAAAAATGTTGGCTTTGTGGTCCATAGGGTCTTTCTCAAGCTACTTAGCTATTATATGTTGTATGATGAAAGTGGCTACAGATAACATGCAAATATGTGTGGCTGTGTCCCAATAAAATAAACATTCACAAAAACAGTCATCAGGCATTATATGGGCCATGGACCTCTACTGTGAACACTTAGCTGATAAAGAATTATTGTTCTTTGAAGAACACTTTGTAGTACAGACCAGTTTTCTTCTTTTGAGAGGCCTATGCTTATGAAAATATATAAGGGATAGAAATTGGAAGTGATGCAATTGGTGTCACTTTGGTCTTTTTGAACAGAAAGGATGTCGTAACAACTGTGTAAGAACAGAACTTGAAGTTCAGAGGCCATGAATTTGACTTTAGGATCTTGAGCAAGTCTGCAAAATAGCTGTCAGAGTGATTGTCCTAACCCTGACTCCCAGGGATATTGTGAGACTAGAAAGAAAACTATAGAGGAAAAAGTAAAAAGTTTTAACTAGAAAAATCACTCTTATGCAAGCTAACCTTTTTTTTTTTTTTTTTTTTTTTTTTTTTTCCTGTTTCCCTTACAGGCCCTAGATTATTGTCATAGCATGGGAATTATGCACAGAGATGTGAAGCCCCATAATGTCATGATTGATCATGAGCACAGAAAGGTAATGTGATAGACTAATAAATCTTTTCCTGCCTGATAGAGTGAACAGCCCATCTTCAACACTTTATCCCTAGCATCTATTACAGTTCCTGGTACCTATTAGGCACTTGACACATATTTGGTGAATGAATAAATTAACTAATCAGAAGACTTAAAACATTATTCAAATTTCTAATAATATCAAGGACGCCCTGGCCAATGTGGTCCTGTTGATAGAGCGTCCGCCCCTGCACTGACGGGTCACAGGTTCAATTCCTGGTCAAGGGCACATATCTGGGTTGCAGGTTCCATTCCTGACCCCAGTCTGAGAGCATGCGGGAGTCAATCAATTGATGTGTCTCACATTGATGTTTCTCTCTGTTTCTCTCTCTCTCCTCTCTCTCCTACTCCCTCCCTTCCCCTTCCACTCTCTAAAAAAAAATAAAAAAAAAAAAATCAATGAAAAAAATATACTCAGCTGAGGATTAACAACAACAAAAAGAATACTGTCGAGAAGGAAATATTAGAAAAGTGGGAAAATCAGTTTTGGGCAGGGAATCTGGCTTTTGGTTTTATTTATTGAATACCTAGTATCTGGGAAACTCTGATTTGGTTTTATTTATTGAATACCTACTATCTTGTTTGCCTCCTCTTTCTTACCGGTACAACAGGTATAATAATATTTGCTCTGCATGCCACTAGGTTATTATGAGAATTAAGTGTGCACAGTTGTGAAATGGATGAAATATTTAACAAGTGCAAGTGCTATTAATGAGAGTTCTACTGAACACATACTTTATAATATTTCAGTTTTGTCAGATCACCAAGCATACCTTTTATAGGTAGAGATGACTGTTATAGACTTTGGAGATGTAGAGGATTTGTTCATTCAAATAAATTTTTTTTAGACACACACTATGCATGGTATTGTTCTAGAAGCAGGGGATATATGCTTGAAGCAGATAGTAAAAAATTCTTGTCCATAGGGAGCTTGCCTTTGGTGGGTATGCAGGTAGGGCAGAACGTTAAAAGTGACGTGAAGAGAAATAAGTCAGGAATAGGGAAAGGCGGGGGATGTTGCTGTTTTAAACAGGGGTAAAGGGAAGATTTCATTGGGAAGATGACATATTTAGAGAACACTTCATCCTCGGGAAGATTTCATTGGGAAGATGACATATTTAGAGAACACTTTATCCTCTTAAAATGAGTAATGCTTGCCCTAACCAGTTTGGCTCAGTGGATAGAGCGTCCGCCTGTGGACTCAAGGGTCCCAGGTTCAATTCCGGTCAAGGGCATGTACCTTGGTTGCGGGCACATCCCCGGTAGGGGATGTGCAGGAGGCAGCTGATTGATGTTTCTCTCTCATCGATGTTTCTAACTCTCTATCCCTCTCCCTTTCTGTAAAAAAAGTCAATAAATATATATATATTTTTTTAATATATTTTGATTTTTTTTTTTTTTTAACAGAGAGAAAGGGAGAGAGAGAGAGAGTTAGAAACGTCGATGAGAGAGAAACATCGACCAGCTGCCTCTTGCACACCCCCTACCGGGGATGTGCCCGCAACCAAGGTATTGGGTCTAGTAATAATTAATGTCGTTTTTAAACATTCGTTTAAAATCTTGCTTGGCGTTGACTTGTATTGACATAACCTTCAAACACGTGGTATCTACAGAACGTGTGAAGTGCAGTTAACAAGTTTTGCTTGAAAAAGTTTGTGTTTGGTTTGGTTTTTGATGCAAAACTAGGGCTAAGAAGATGGCGGATGAAGAGCATATTCGGCACTGCATGCTTTACGAGTTCCAATTAGGAAGAAAAGCAAGTGAGACTGCAAAAAACATCTGTAGTGCTCTTGGTCAAGATGCAGTTAGCGCCAGAAAATGCCAGCGTTGGTTTGAGAAATTTTGCGAGGGAAATTTTTCGTTAGATGACAAGAGTGGTCGAGGCCGTGTGTCCAATTTTGATCAAGAAGCTCTTCAAGCTCTTTTGGTGCAAAATCCTCAAATTACCCAACAAGAGCTTGCGACAACTTTAAATTGTTCACAAAAAAACAATTTCCAATCAATTGCGTGCACTTGGCGAAGTCCAAAAGTTTGGAAAATGGGTTCCTCATGAGTTGACCGACAACAACCGTAATCAAAGAGTCACAATTTGCAGTTCGCTCCTCTCTTGTCAAAACCGTTTGCCGTTTTTAGAGCAAATTGTTACCGGAGATAAAAAATGGGTGCTGTATGTTAATTTGAAAAGGTGGCCTCAATGGTTGGACAAAAATGAGGCTCCGCAGCCCACGCCAAAACCTGACTTGCATGCGAAAAAAGTGATGTTGTGTGTTTGGTGGAATTTTAAAGGAATTCTTCATTATGAACTTTTACCATCTCACCAAACCATTACAAGTGTAGTGAAAAGTGCCCAATTGGAAAGGTTAGCCCAAGCTTTAAGAGAAAAAGAACCCGCGCTGATTAATCGGAAGGGCGTAATTCTTCACCACGATAACGCACGACCGCATACTGCAAGAATCACTGCTGAAAAACTGTGCCAGTTGGAATGGGAAGTTCTCCCTCAACCTGCATATTCTCCTGATATTGCCCCTTCCGATTACCATTTGTTTCGTTCTTTGCAAAACTTTCTTCTTGGAAAAAAATTTAATAATGAAGAATGCCTCAAAAATGCATTGACCGAATTTTTTGCATCAAAATCACAAGAATTTTACAACAGAGGGATTAAAATGCTTCCTGAGCGTTGGGCACAAGTAGTAGAAAACAACGGCAACTATATTGTTGATTAAATTTTGTTGTATTGTTTAAATAAATTCGATTTAAAAAAGTATTAGAAAACGACGTTAATTATTACTAGACCTAATACATGCCCTTGTTCGGAATCGAACTTGGGACCTTTCAGTCCACAGACCGATGCTCTACCACTGAGCCAAACCTTTTATTTTTTAAAAGTATATATGAAACATTTAAAAGGGATCATTCTGGTTGCTGTGTAGAGAATATAGGGCAAGAGTGAAAGCAGCTTGACAAGTTAGGAGAAGGGGCTATTTCAGTAAATCAGACAAGAGATCATGGTAGCATGAACCAGGGTAGTAGCAGTGGAGGTGATGATGATGATCAGAATATGAGCCAACAAGATTTGTTGACATACTAGATAGATATGGAGTGTAAGAGAGACACTCCAGGGTGGAGTATTTTTGGCCTGACCTATAGGTTGAATCGAATTACCTTTAACTGACAAGGCGGAGGCTGTGGAAGAAAGGGAATAATTAGAGGTTTAGTTCTGAGGTTTTTTTAGGTGATCAGAGAGGCAGAGGTGGCTGGTAGAAGACATGGGCTAGAGCAGTGGGTCGCAAACCTTTCAGACCTCACCACCATTGGTTCGTGAACCACCAGTTGGCGATGGCTGGGCTACAGGGTATAAGTTGGAAATACTGATATACTGTGTGTAAAGCCAGGGGGCCAGAAATACTCATCTGGGAATACCTGTTGCTAAAAAAAGGAAACTCAGGGATAGCTCCGAAGCACTTTTTTTAAGGGGTTGGAGAAAAAAAAAAGACTAAAAAAATTATACTTTATACCTTTTGTTATAATCCCCTTTGTTCACCAAAACAATGAAGACACTAAACCTAGTTAACATGACAGATTAGACACACCCTAGTACCCACAATTCAAATCATGCTTATTTTTTACACAATAGGCAAATAAGGTTGCCTCTTGACTATACTAGTACTTTTTCCACTTTCAGGATACATTTTAGTAAGGGCCATTTTGTGCGGCTTTGCTCTTCATTCACTCAACAAATACTTTTTGTTTTTCTTCTGTGTACTAGGCATTATGTTGAATTTAAAAGGTGAATAAAACAGTCCCTACCTTCAAAGAGTTTACAGTCCATTTTGAAGAGAAAAAAAAAATAGGAAACAAATATACAGTAAAGAATTGTGGGTTCACCCTGGCTGAGTAGTTAAGAGCATCAACTTCATTGTTTGCGGTTCTGGGAGGGGCTAAAGGCAATGGTTGGTCCTACTTGATAATTAGAAAAGACTTCAGTGAGGACATAATTTTACTATCTCAAAAGATGAGATGTTCACCAGTAGGAGTCTAGGAAAAGTCTAGACAATCTATTCAGCTGAGCAGTAGAAGAAATTTGCAAAAGCACAAAATGAAATTATCTTTCAGCAGGTTTCCCTAGAGCATAAGAATTAAGTCATGAGAACTTGATATGTCAAACTAAACAGGGGTTGGCAAAACTAGGTTTACAGAGTTGTTGGTATATGAAACACAGTTTATTCCTGTATTATTTATTTTTGTATTATATTTTTCCATATGAAAACTGTAAATCTACTTTTGTCCCCTCCCTGAATAACAGGTAGTCCTGAAGGGGTTTTAATTTAAAGTGACATGGCTGGTATCCTCCTATATAATAAAAGGCTAATGGCAAATCTACCAAACAGCAGAATGACCCATCGCTATGATGCGCACTAACTACCAGGGGACAGACATTCAATGCAGAAGCTGGCCTCTGATGGTCAGTGCACTCCCACAGGGGGAGTGCAACTCAGCCAGAAGCTGGACTCATGGCTGGCAAGCGCAGCAGTAGTGACAGGATCCTCTCCCACCTCCGCGGCAGCACTAAAGATGTCCCACTGATGTCAGTCGGACATTCTCCAAGGGCTCCCAGACTACAAGAGAGTGCAGGCCGGGTTGAGGGACAACCCTACCTCCCCACCTCCCTGCCAAGTGCATGAATTTCATGTGCAGGACCTTTAGTCCAATATAATAAAGATAAAATATGCAGATTGACCATCATTCCATCACAAAAATGGCAGCACCCACAGAGGAGGGGGAGGTTACATAACACAAGATGACTTCAGACGCTGAGTTCCCATAAAGAGCCTTAACGAGCAATCAGCAGGAACCTAAGGCTATGCCTCCACCCCAGTTCCAGGCCAGGGGACCTCAGGCCGTACCCCCAGCCCAGCAGGACTTGATGGGGCACCTCAAGGTGCACCACCCCCGTGCTGGGCTGGGGACCTCAGGCTGCTCCCCTTGCCCTAGGCCAGGAGGCCTCAGGCCACGCCCCATGCCCAGTGGGGCTTGACAAAGGGCCGCAAGGCGTGCCCCACACCCGGCAGGGCTTGACAGGGGACCTCAGGTCACAACGGGGCTTGACAAGGTTGGGACCAGCCAGGTGTGGATCTAGCCCAATGGGGGGTCCGGCTGAGTCTGAGTCTCGCACGATTTTGAAGTGCACATGGGTGGGCCGGACTTAACTCTGGGTCCCATGGTGCACCCGACTCTGACAGGAGGAAGATTTTCATATACATTTTACTAATTTTCTTTCATTTCTTGCACTTCTATTATAGCGAAAGGGCAAATAGCAATATTAAAATATTTCCTGTAATTAATCCCTTTTAATGTGCACAAATTTTGTGCACCGGGTCACTAGTCTATATATATAAAAACCTAACCGACTGTTATGATGGAACAACAGGTCACAGTGACGTGCACTGACCACCAGGGAGCAGATGCTCAACAGAAGGAGCTGCCCCAGGCCCACAGGCCCTGGCCTGGGATGGGGAACCAGGGGTGGGTGGTGGGGGATGCGTCCCCTTTTCCAGGGGAGCTGAACGCCTGCTCCCTCCTTTGGGATGGGTGGTGATGACAAATGTCTTAAGGAGCCCGGATGTGGAGGGCTGTGCTCTCTCACTGGCTACCTGAGGGCAGGGTTGACGGAGATGGAGATGCGTGAGAATGTGGGGTATTCGCTGAGCTTGCTTGAACTCCCCTTGCTAACCTCCTCCGAGACTCCAGGGCTCTCGCACTCAGGGGCCTGGCAGCCCAGGTGCTGCCCAGGACCCAAAAGTCAGCTGGGACCTGCCCTTCTGCCAGACACTCGTGCTTCGATATCCAGCCTGGGGACTGCACCTGGGCATGGATGTCTTGCACCGGACCTCTAGTTTTTAAAAGAGTACCCTAAAGACAATGTATGGTGTAGCTTGGAAGATAAAATTGCTTATGATTTATTCTCTTTTTTTTCTTTCAGCTACGGCTAATAGACTGGGGTTTAGCTGAGTTTTACCATCCTGGCCAAGAATATAATGTCCGAGTTGCTTCTCGATACTTCAAAGGTCCTGAACTACTTGTAGACTATCAGGTGAGAGAGAAAGGCAAATAAAATTTCTGTCCTAGCTCTGGCCAGTGTCGCTCAGTGATTAGAGTGTCAGCCCCAAACCAAAGGGGGGTTGCAGGTTTAATCCCTAGCCCAGGTCAAGGCATGTGCAGTAGGCAACTAATCAGTGTGTGTGTGTCTCTTTTTTCCACCCCACCCCCCTTCTACTCTCTCTAAGTGGAAAAAATATCCTCAAGTGAGGGTTAACAAAACAGTTTCTGTTCTATGCTTATTTTGAACATAATTTGCAAAAAATCTCATTTTGAGTAGGTTACTTCTACATGTGCATGGCTAACCCTTTTATATAAATTTAAAATATGAATCAGCTCAATTCATCTACTGTAACTTATGTTTTTATTATCATAATGTCAGTAGAATATGAATAGATCTGCATTTGACCCTAACTGAAGAAAAAGTACATCAAAGATAACCTTTTCTATTTAGAAACTATGGAGCTTAGGTTTAATCAACCTAAGGACTAAACTAAATTATGCTCTCAAAATTTTTATAAATTGTATCTGTATATATAAAAAGCCAGCAATTGGAACGCCGGAATGACTGGAACCACTGATAGCTATGATGTCCCCTGCGGCTGGCTAACTGGCCTCATTGGGGCAGGGCTGGCTGGCCAACCATCCAAGGCCTCTCCCCTTAGCCAGCCAGATCCCATCTGATTACAAATTTGTGCACCAGGCCTCTAGTAACTTCCTTTTACTAAAAAAGCCCTCTTCTCACGGAAATAAAATCCTTAGGTATATCTTTCATGCCCATTCCTCCCAGATGTTATCAGATACCTTAAAAAGTTCAGACTGACCTAGAAATTATTTTTCTGGGATCTTGAGGATATAACCCTAAGCTCAAACATTTTATGCATAAAAATATTCTTTCTTTTAAAAAATTTCTGCTTTTTTGAGAGAGAAATAGTGATTTTTGTTCCACTTATTTATGCACTCAGTGATTGATTCTTATATATGCCCTGACTGGGGATTGAACCCACAACCTTGGCATATCAGGACAATGCTATAACCAACTGAGCAACCTGACCAGGGCCCAAAATATTCTTTATGATATTATTTATAATTATTGTATTATTAAACAAAACCACTATCTTATAGGGAAATTAAAGATTAAATTCTGAAATATTTGTTCAGTAAAATAATGTTACACATTAAAAGGTTTCCAGAGGCTAACAACTTGAGATGTTTTTATGTGAGTGAAAAAGGTAATTCAAAATAGTATGTAGATTGTTTTAAAATGGTGGAAATGCATAGAAGAAAAAACTGAAAAATATATGAAGATGTTATTGGTGTTTAGACATTTTATTGGAGTGATTTTTTTTTTTTAAGTAGTAATTTTTTATTTGGAAAGTACAAGATAATTTATTGTCATTTCATTTATAACTGACTTTTTTTTTTTTAACTTCAATGCAGATGTATGATTATAGTTTGGATATGTGGAGCTTGGGCTGTATGCTGGCAAGTATGATTTTTCGGAAGGAGCCATTTTTTCATGGACATGACAATTATGATCAGGTGATACATGTTCTCAATAGGCAACTTACTGGGCTAACATAGATAATGATGAGATCTGTCTACTTAGTAGAAACTGTGGTGGATTTTGCTAAAATATAGATGCCCATCCCAATCATTTAGAGTGAGACCCTAGAATAATTTTCAATTCCTGGCTTATTCAGTTAGCCCAACATTGATCCTTTTATTGGTGTTTTGAGAGCTACCGTATAGCCTTTTGAAATCACTGAGTTTTTCCCCTAGTTTTTTTATTTGTTTGCTTGTTTCATTGTAAATTACACATGTAAAATAAGACATTACCTTAGAATCCTTTAATGTGAGTTTTCACTAAAATTGGGAATATTTTCTTCAACATGTTGGTTTACATATGGTATTTCTATGATCCTTTTGTCTCTTTATATGGATTGAGTTGGTGTATGTCAGTAGAAATATAGATGATGTTTTTTATACTAGCTCCACTTCCCCTTGAAGATCAATTAAGATCAGCAAGACTTTATGAAGTGCCCTGCAGGGTTGGAGAAGACTTTTTTTTTAAGTTTAGTCTAGCCCTGGCCTGTGTGGCTGAGTGGTTGAGCGTCCATCTAGGCACTAAGAAGTCACTGGTTCAATTTCCGGTCAGGGCACAGCTGGATTTGGGGCTCGATCCAAAACCAGGGGGCATTTTTAAAAGTACTAAGAAAAAAGATTAGTCCAGCCTCTCAAACAGTTCATAGTTTAGTACGGGAATGAAATATACAAGGAAATAAGTTAGTTGTAAATGTCAGAATAGAAACATAGACAAGGTACAAGTGTGGGAGTGAGTGGTCTTGACTGTACAAAGGGAGTTTCCCAAAGGAAGTGACACCCTTAGCTGGGTTGTGAGGGTACAAACATAAGACTTCGTCTGGGAGACATTTCAAGGGGAAGGAACCAGGTTATATCATTGTTTTTTCCTTTTTTACACCATCACGTTGAGTTCTGATTTAGAGAATTTTGTGTGGAAATTATTCCTACAGTACATAGAAATCTGAAGTAAATTTGAGTGTATATTCATACCTGTAGCGCCGATGATCCCTTTGCTGTTAATCCAGTCACGGCTGTTTATTGATTTAATTTTGTAACATGATTGTTGTGTGGGTTTTTGTCTTTCTTCAATCCTAGTTGGTGAGGATAGCCAAGGTTCTGGGGACAGAAGATTTATATGACTATATTGACAAATACAACATTGAATTAGATCCACGTTTCAATGATATTTTGGGCAGGTGAGTCAAAAATCTATGCATCTGTGCATTAATCACTTTAAGACATACTGTAAATTGACACTTTGGATCCTCAAAAAATGTTATGACCCTGGCCAGTGTGGCTCAGTTGGTTTGATGTCATCCTGTGCACCGAAAGGTTGCCAGTTTGATTACTGGTCAGGGCACATACCAGATTGCAGGCTTGATTCCCTGGGGGAGTGCAGGAGTCAGCTGATCAATGTTGTGTTCTCACATTGATGTTTCTCTCCCTCTCACTTCCTCTCTCTAAAAACCAATAAAATATATTTCTTTAAGACTATTTTAAAAAATAGTTACATCCTCTTTGCCAGCCCTGCTGAAGCATCACTAGTCCTGTACTGCAGGATGCTGCTTGGGTCATCCTGTGATAAAATCACTGGATTGAATGCCATTTTCCCAAGTTCACTTAAAAGATGGTGTGGAGATTATTGTCAGAGGATTCCTGAAAAATTAATGAAATATAGATTCTAATAGAAGGTTTGCAGTTGACTTAGCTTCTCCAAATGACAAAGCCCTTTAAGAGAAATAAATAGTAATAGGAAATATATGTTTCAAGACCGATGTGCATACAGACAATGAACAGACTCCGAAAATGTGGCTAGGCGCAATACTAATTCATTCACCACTTACCAAGAGGTGGACTTTCCTGATGCAAAGGCTTTGCTGGCCAAGTGGCAGAGATGCCAGGAATGTGTGAGGGGATGGGAAAGAGGCCTGGTTAGACTAGCCATCTGACCCCCCCTTGCTGTGCAGAAGTATTCAGTATTGTAAAGGAACATGAATTATGGTTTGTAAAATTGTGAGCACCCAGATTTCTCCTCTGTGCAACACTGCTGTTTTCAGTCTCTCCAGTTAGCTTGGTTGTCTCCCTAATGACAGAGTGCTATAAAACTGCTCTCTTGAGTTTTGATTTCTTTTTGCTAGTTGCTGGGCTCCTAGTCACTAAGGAAAATTTAGGAAGGAAATAAATGTTGGGCTTCTCTACCCCTTGTTTCATTTCTCATTTCCCCTTTTGGCTCTGCAGACACTCACGTAAGCGATGGGAACGCTTTGTCCACAGTGAAAACCAGCACCTTGTCAGCCCTGAGGCCTTGGATTTCCTGGACAAGCTGCTGCGATATGACCACCAGTCACGGCTCACCGCAAGAGAAGCCATGGAACACCCCTATTTCTGTGAGTCCAACTGTTCAATCCACAGAGCCTGGGTAGGCCTGCCCAGCAGACTGTACAAGACAAGGGAAAATACATGCTGTGAAGAAAACTGTAGGTCCACGGCCCCACCAGAAGAGAGTTGGAATCCCAGCTCTGCTTATCTTGTGGCAAAGTTATTCCGCCACAGTGAGCCTTGGTTTCATCAAATGAGGACTGTGATGGCAACTGTCTTACAGAATTGTTGGAAGGATTCTTATCTAATAGTACTTAATACAGGATTGTTCCTAAACAAACTACTTTTCTTACTGTGTGAGTGACACTTATCAGGGGTTAGCTAGTATGGAGTGGTTGGATTATAATGAACTAGAGGCCCGGTATATGGATTCGGGCACTGAAGGTGGAGGATCCCTCTGCCTGGCATGTGGGGATTAGGCCAAAACCAACTTTGCAACATCCCCCAAGGGGTCCCAGATTGCAAAAGCACAGTTCTCTGGTGACACACCCCATAATCAGGCTCCCTCCTCAGATGCATCACCCTAGACCCGCAACTGCCAAGTCACTACAGTTCAGCAGCTCCTGCATGAGTGTCTGCCCCCTGGTGGTCAGAGCACTGATTGGACGGTCAGATGGTCTCTTAGGCTTTTATATAGAGAGTAGTAGCCCATCACGCACTATCGTGCAGTTGGCTGCCCACCACTTCTGCGGGAGCTGGTGGGAACCGCAGTGCACCGCCAGGCACCGCACTGCTTCCGTGGGATGCAGTCCCCCCATCTCCTCTCCCAGCCTCCGCTCAGCTGCAGAGACTGCAAGCCAGCTCCCCGCCCCCCAGAGGCCCTCTTTGGGGCTGGGGCAGAATGCTTGCCCTGTTGCCGTGGTGACAAAGCAAGCATTCTGCCAGGCCACTCATGCTGCCCGCTCTCAGCAGCTCCCCCCCAGCAGGACTGGGCGACTCAGGCGGGGCTGAGAGGACTAGGTGCCGCCATCTTTGTGATGGAGTGATGGTTAATTTGCATATTTTATTTGATAGGATAGTCCCATATCTGTCCTGTCTCTGGTCCAATAATTTATTGGAGAGCCAAGGAAGCTAGAAAATCTTAACTGTATGAATACCTTGACTTAGGTTTGTGTTATAGCTAATGGTGCTGTCCTGGGTGAAAATGTCTATTAGACCCACTCCATCTTCACAGTGATGTTAGCTCCAACATTGGATTATTTCTTGGAATGTTAGAGTGGTTTCGTAGTGAACTGATTATGTGTTTGCCCAGTCTCCTATATCTGAAGCAGACTGGCCTGAAGTCTATGGTAACAGCACTAATTTGCACAACCTATAACTTTGGCCTATTTGGCACCATGCTTAACCAGTTGAGTTGTGGACTGCAATAAGATCATTTCATTCTGATACTATATCACTCTCTAGATCAGGTTAGATTATATTGTCTCATTAAACCCTAACAGGATCAGTTTTGTGTTAAATTAGATCTACCATGGATAATTATTCATCTTCCTACCATTTAGTTTTAGAGGTTGCCTTTACTAGTTTGACAGTAAAGATAATTCTATTTTCTATTGTCTAATTTATGGTGAAGACAAGGCAGATGCCACCTTAAGTTCTTCTGGGAATTATATGGAATATAAGATTGAAAGCATGAGTGTGACTGCTTTAAGATCATTAGTTTAATTGTTAAGCATAACAGAACTTAACATATTTGTCTTTTTCTAGACACTGTTGTGAAGGACCAGGCAAGAATGGGCTCAGCTAGCATGCCAGGAGGCAGTACACCTGTCAGCACCGCCAATATGATGACAGGTCAGTTCATCAGTGAATTTCTGTTCTTTTTCTTTAAGCGGTAGAAATTGATTATTCTTCCTGTTTGTGTTTTTGTGGCCTGATTTGCTCCCTTTTGTGACCTGATTTCTTGTGAACCTCCTCTTCTCTCTGTTATGATTACCTTATTAATAATTGATATACTAACCTGTGCAGCTCTCTCCACTAGCTTTCAGGATGCTTTTGACATCTGATATACTTCAGTGACACTACTTTGAGTAGGCTCTTCTGGGCCAGAATCCCCAAAATGTCTCAGAGGGACATGAATGTCCCAGCAAGCCATGAAAAATAAAGGGTGATCCTTTTGTTTCACAGTTAGAGTGACAGTAGTTGATATGGTCCTCAGAAACAAGATTAAGAAATTGGGGAGAGAAGAGGTGGGGTTTGCACGTGGGGTGTATATTAGTAAAAGCATGGTTCTTTGATTCCCCCTCCCCCCCGCCAAAGCATTTACAGTGTATCTAATAAATTGTAAATATATGAAATTATTTTTCCTTACTGTTGAATCACTACGATTTAGAGCAAGTTTTGGTACAGAGTACACAATTATTCTAAAGAGATTCTAGGCCCATATTGTGAGGATTATACCAGATCCACGTGAGTACACTTGTAGTGAGGGCCTTTACTCAGACACCTTCAGAGAATTACTGATAATGAGCTAGCTGCCTTCTAGACCACATGTGTCAAACACAAGGCCCGCGGGCCAAATCCGTCCCGCCAGGCCTTGCAATGTGGCCCGCACCGCGCTGTCATCACTGCACTCCGCTGCGTTTCCATCACAATGACAGTTTATGACTGTTCAGTAAACCATTCGGCCCGCGATTTAGGCTGGATTTTAGATTTTGGCCCCTTCTCTGATTGAGTTCGACACCCCTATTCTAGACATTATTCCCTGGGACTGTTGGCTGTGTGCAAAATGATGCATGTCCAAGGTGGTAGCCTTATTTGTAACAGCAGGATATTTAACAGTAATAGGGAACTGTTAAATGAATTATGGGACATCCATTCAGTGGAATGCTATGCAGCCAGAGAAAAGAATGAATGTTTCGTGTTCTTTTCTAGCTCCAACTCCAGGATAATGTGAAAATAAAATAAGCAAGATGCAGAGCCATGTCCAAGACCAGGAGTGGGCAAAAGTATATAATCACATTTCTATATATGGTATCCATGTGAATATTCTGATAAAATTGTATTCATGTATATGCATAAAATATTTCTGGAAGGATATACCCTAGAAATTGTGCCTAGTGACAGGGCAGTGGAGATTTATTAACTATATATTTTGAACTTTATCAAATACTGTTTTGGCTTAGAGGTGGGAAGTGCTCCTTTAAGTAATTTTGAATTTTTAGCTGGCAGTGTGACATAAACACATGAGTTTTTACTCTAGCCCTCTGCTGTTCAGTATGGTGGTGACTAGCAACATGTGGCTATTTAAATTAAGCAAATTTAATAAATGTTTTGTTTTGGGTTTTTGTTTTGTTTTGTTTTTTAATATATTTTATTGACTTCACAGAGGGGAAGGGAGAGGGATAAAGAGTTTCAAGTGCTCAGTAGCTACATGTGGTTAGTGGCCACTAGGTTAGCACAGATTATAGAGCAGGAAATTTGATTGCACAGTGCCGCCCTAGATAGGCCTGGGTTGGAATCCAAGGATAGTTGCCAACTTTACTAGCTGTTTATTTTTGGTCAAACTGCTTAAACTCTCCAAGCATGGATTTCTTTATCTCCTAAATTAATTATAACTTGCCATTTTAATTTTTGAGGATTTAATTTGAAATTAGTTTAATTTGTAAAAATCTGGCAAAGGATATGCCTGAAATAAAGAGAATTTTTGTGTGCGTGGAATATATTGAACAACATAAACTGATGAACAAAAATAGATGCAGTGACATAGAAGCATCGAACAGACCAAGAGAATTGATGTGTGTGTGTCACTTTTGAGATAGGAGCTATGGAAAACTGGTGACTAAGATTTCCATGGTCGGTCTCTCTCGCTTACTCTCATGTGTTTTCTTTCAGGGATTTCTTCAGTGCCAACCCCTTCACCCCTCGGACCTCTGGCTGGCTCACCAGTGATTGCTGCTGCCAACCCCCTTGGGATGCCTGTTCCGGCTGCCGCTGGCGCTCAGCAGTAATGGCCTCTTCTGCCTCCTGATGCCTGAGCAGAGGTGGGGGAGTCCGCTCTCCTTGATGCAGCTTGCGCCTGGTGGGGAGGGGTGAAATAACTTAAGGAGCACCGTGTCTGACCCGTTGCTTGTGGATTTATAGTAGTTCAGTCATAAAAAAGAATTATAATAGGCTGATTTTCTTTTTATTTTTCTTTCTTTTTTTTTTTCTTTTTTTTTAACTCGAACTTTTCATAACTCAGGGGAATCCCTGAAAAATTACCTGCAAGTGGAATATTTCACGGACAAATTTTTTTCTCCCCTTCCAAATTCAGTTCCTCATCACTAAAGAACAAAGATAAACCAGCCTCAATTCCTGCTGCTGCATTTGGGTGGAGATTTCTTCCCATGCCGACCATTGCTCAACTACCATCCCACACTTTGGGGCCGGGGGCTTGTATCTCATGCTCTTTTCCAGAGATTACAAAAATGTAGCTTCTTCAAGGGAGGTGGGAAGGAAGGAGGGAGGACCCAACCTCTAAAAGCAGTGTCCTGCTCGTCATTTACATCACTTTATTCCAAAAGTGCTTCAGTGGGGTTATCCTGGTGAATCTAGTGGAAATATGTCTTAATTATAGTTACATTGAGATGCTGAAAAATCTACCCAAAGTGCTGACAGGTCATGAAAATCTATGTTCACTCTGAATCATGTCTTACTGACCTGACCCTAAATCCAGCTCACTTATAAGTTTAGTTTCAAACTTTAATAACTTTCCCTCTCTGGCTCCTTACCTTGGTCCTCTTTCCTCTCGTATCCCAAAATACTCTATAGCTGGAAGGAGACTTGGCCATTTTGAATTCAGTTAGCTACTGGGTATAATTTATTGCTTTTTACAAAGAAAAAAAAAACATTGTCTGTATAGGTTTCATGTTAACAACGCTTTAAGAGCTAATGGGAGATGTGGCCACAGTTTCATTTTAAGTTTTCCACCTTCTTTCCCTCCTACCTTCCCCTTTCTTCTCATGCCACTCAGTGAGAAGGCCTGCCCCTCAGTCTTGTAACTGTATCTGAGAGGGAGGAGCAGGGCCGCTGTCTCCAGTGAAGCTGAAATGGTAGACCTGTAATTGTGGGAAAACTAAACTCTCTGTTACAGCCCTGCCACCCCTGCTGTGTGTGTATATATAATACTTTGTCCTTCATATGTGAAAGATCCAGTGTTGGAGTTCTTTGGTGTAAATAAAGGTTTGGTTTTATTTATCGAGGTTAGATTTAAGTTCCCTGTGTAAAGGTCTCGCTGGGTGGGTGTCTCAACGTTCACATCTGAGGGGCCTGCAGGCCTGTACCGTGGAGGCTTCCTACGGCCGCCATTTTTATACCCCTCATCTGACCCATGGTACTGGGCAGGGCAGGGAGGCCTTGAAAAGCACCACAAGCCAAAGCGTCTCTGGGGATTAAGGATCCTTTGCCATAAAATTCATTTTGTGTCTCAGCAGTGCAGGGATTGGGGATGGAAAAGTCGCCAGTTTTGTGTGTTTGTGTGTATGTAAAGTGGATTTTCCACTGTAATTCAACCACCTAAGTTTATCAGGTGCTTCACTGAGGAAGCCTAGTTTTTTAAGCACAATAGCAAAACCATCAGCTCTGTATTTTCTCCTGTTAATTTAATTACAGTAGCTGCTTGTGGGGACTAGGGAAAATTCTTCCAACATATTTTAAGGCCTAAAATCTTAGTTCCCCATTCTCCTACCTTTATAGATTCATAAGCCTTTCTCATCTGGGCGTCATAGATAAATGTAATTATTTGAGGAGTTGAATCTAATGAACTTATCTAACTTTGTAACCCAAATTGGCTCTAGTAACTTACTTTATCGAGGTGATGGCTTTAGTGAGTATAATGATGAACTTTAGAGAAAGCTAAAGCTTTCTTTTATAATGCTTCTCAACCATAGGGAGAACATTCTGTGTGGCAGGTGGTTTTCTTTCTTGTTGCCACTTACAGTGGATATTTATTGTTCTTGACCCTTTTATGCCCTAGAATGCTGTGTGGGTTACCATGTTGAATCTGTGCAGAAGCTAAAAGCACCGGATGTGCCAGAGATGCAATTTGTGATTACGTTTGCACTGGATTGTGATTTGAACAGGACACGATGACTAATGAATTCTTTCTTTTTAGGTGGGGAGGAGGGTTGTTATAAATCAAGACTTCACGTTCTACCCTTGTAGCTCAGAGAATCTAGGCGTAGCAGAGGCTGATGTGAGGAGCTGCAGACAGCTGAACCTCCTAACACGCATCAGACCTTGCAAGAAACTGAAGGTAAATGCAGAGGACTCTGAAATGCCACCCAAGAGCCTTTTAAAAGAAATAAACTTTTTTAAATGTTAATTAAGGAGTCACTGCAAAAGCATGAAAAAAAAAAAAAAAGATCCAATTGGGTGGGTGGGGGGCAAGGGTTTACAGAGTAACAACTTCTTTGTTGTAAATTACCTCATCTGTATACCTTGTATTGGGACACTTTATTTCTCAGCACTACCTGTGTCTGCAATGATCAGATTGCAGGAGATGGAATGCCAATATAAGACAGTTGTGTTGGCAATTACTCTGAAAGGTTTTTTAATATTTTTAAACTTTGTTTGAAGTGGGCTCCCTTTCTTTACCCCCCCCCCTTTTTTTTTTAAGTTGGAAGTCAGAAGTTTCCCCTCTCCCCCTTGATTTATTGGTTGTAATTGTATTGTAATTGGTATAACTAAAACATTAACTGTGCTGGGAAGAAGTTGTGCCATGAAGGTCTTTAAATTTTTTTTTAATAAAAACATTTAAACAAATGAAATGTCCCAACAGCCTGAACAGTATGCTTCTCCATCCGACACCGTATGTGATAGATGGCTTAGTTCTCACATACTTTAAATTTAATATTGAGTTTATAGGGATGTGAAGAGGGATGACTTAAGATTGGTTGAGGAGCTCTAAAGTCTGAGAGTTTTTGGCGTTGAGATACAGTGAAAGAGCATGATGTTGCTAAACAGGACTGGTTTCATTCCTGCCCTTGTCACATACTTGGCTACTTGGCAAATGGCAAATTTACTTCTGAATCTGTTTCATCATCTATAAAATGGGGCCACTGCTTCCTTGGAATTGAATCAGTGTAAATGTCAAGTATTATGCACCTAGTAAGCCCTTGGTAAACCTAGTTTCCTTGTCCCTCTATTATGGAGGGTTAGTCCTTGGTCTAATTTCACTATACAATCTCCTCTGGATCTCTCCAGACCTCTGTGTGTGTTCAATCAGGAGGAGATTATGTGAGCTGTCTTCTGAGCTCCTTTTCAACTCTGACATTGCTTTGAATGATTCTTAAGTGAAAAGGTCTATAGAGACAGCTTATTCAAAGCAGAAAAGACCAGTGTTCAATGAATGGCAATAAGCCCTATGGAAGGTGATAACCCCAGTCCCGGAGACAATTTGGCAAAGTCCCAGTGCTTGGAATGAAGGTGTGCTGGTGAGCTTATGGGAACATACTTGGCAGTTCCCATCAAAACTATCAAGAGGGCTGGTAAAAGAGATGAAACTGGGTTTTACTTGCTTATCAATGCCAAATAAGTAAATTCTATAAAAGCATATACTTGAATTTCCTTTTATTTCTCATTTAGTTTTTAAAAATTAGTTTCCATTAAATCTTCACTGCATACTATCTTATGGCATCTACATCTTATCAATTTTTGGAGTTAAGTGTGGTTTAGATAAAGGAGCCATTGTGTAATATCTTGAAACTGAAATGTCTAACATGAACTTTAATTTCTAACATTCCCATTTTATACATGATAAATATAGGAAGATTAAATTGTTAGAGTGGGCCTGTTAGAGACAGGAATATATTTTGTAAAATTAGATTTTCAGGGTATGGCTAATTATTATAACCTTAAAGTAATTCAGAAAATTTGAGATTGGTTGACATACTTGGGAATGTTAATTTCCTCCGGTCTTTAAATTTCATATTGTTTCACCTATTGTCAAGTGTGGTTATAATTAATACTGACTGTTTGAACATCTCTTAAAAAATCTAGTTTTGTCATAACTGCCTAAAGATTCCCACCAGCAGATTCTCTACTAAGATTAGAGTTGGGTTTGAGTAGTTGTTTAATTATTAGTCTTTATCTGCCTCCCTACTGGTAATTCCTCCTCCCTGTGCCTCAGCTGTAGGGACTGTATAGCCTGTAATTTGTGACATGCCTGCTAGAAAGGCTGTCTTCCAGGGCCTTTTCCTCCTTAAGGAAAAAGTTAGCCAAAGGCTCCCTTCTCAAAATGGGTCTGAAAACCTTGATGTCAGCTGATGCCCCACCCTATATAAAATGTCTCTGCTCCTCCACTGCCTTCACTACCACTATCCCATTGCCCTTTTTTCTTAACACCTGGATTTCTTTTTAACCTCACCCACGGATACCATCAGTTGTGAAGTAAATTATGGGAGGCCCAACTGGTGCCAAGGATTGAGCCTGCAACCCAGATACATGCCCTTGACCCAAAACCCTTTGGTCTGTGCGTCAATGCCCTAACCACTGTCCAACCAGCCAGGGCAACACCTGCACTTTTATGGTATTATTTTGTTGATTTATTTGTTGTTTCTCTCTCCACCTGCATATAAACTCCCTGGTGATCTTGTATGTCTTACTAATCTGTGCTTAATTATAAAAACTTTTTTTCTTTAAAGTGGGCCACTATCCCTCAGTATTGAAGATGATTGACTGGAGTAGCACAAGAACAATGCTTAGCACCACACCAGATTCATAATAGATGCTCAATAAATGGTAATTTCATTCTCTGTTCCTATCTCTACCTTACCCTTCCCCACCACACAAAAAGTTAATAGAAGTACTGTTGCATAAAGAGCATCTCAAGGTCAGTAGAAACTTGACCTGAGACTTGCAACTGTAATTATAAGCCACAAGCCCCAGACTGAATTAACATAAGAAAAGGTTGGTTTAATGAGTAGTTGGTGAAATTATATGTGACTGGAGGCTAAACAATGATCCTGACCAGATTTTGTACAGAAAATGATGCCACATCTAAAGGGATGCTATACTTTTATGGGTAAAATGGCTGTAAAGTGTCTAGAAAGAAAAAATATGCATACATTAAACATAACAGGTTCTCAACAGATGCAGGTCAAGGGTCTAATTTGAATTGCCTTGTTCTCACCCTCTGTGATTTCCCTCTAAGATTCTATCACTCTGTCTCCTGAATTTTTAATTTTTCTACTAAAAGCCAAATATTCTTGCACTGGATTTGCCTCTCTGTGGCTATATTCACCAAGGATTCTTACTGGCCTTACTGTAAAAAGCTCTCCCCAGCTACCTCCATATGGGAGTTTATAGGAATGCCAGTCTGTTTATTGAAGAGGTTCCTAAGGCGATTGGGTATTTCTGAGTCAGCTTCATTCTTACATCACCTGCTTTGGCAGTGTTTTCTTGGCTCCTCTAAAAAGGGAAAGCAACAGTAGCTGGTAAGTGATTCAGAGTCAAACATTTGTAGGCTTACCTAGGAAGGCAGGACCTTGCTTTTGTGTATTGAGCAGTTCTATGAAGGAATCCAGATAGCCACATCTCATGTATACCTCATTCTGTTCCTCATTCACCCCCTCATCTTCTTCTCAACCCCAGAGTTCCTTACGTACTCCCCTGTATGATGCCTTGCAACAGACATTTGTTGTCCATGAGACTCAATCCTAAGGGGACAAATGTTCTTTTCAAATACAAAAGCAGGAAATGAAATTGTGTGTAAGGAATCATTTTATTTGTGTCTTAAAAAAAAAAAAAAAAAAAAAGTTCCCCAGGGGGGAATATCAGATTGCCCAGTCAAAATGGTAGTCAGCGAACTCCTCCTGCTCCAGATACATGAGGGTGCTGACTAAAATAACAGTTTACTTCCAAATCAATAGCCAAGTTCAAGGAAAGAAATGGAAATCCCTAGTTGGCAGAAACAAATTCAGAATTCATCCTGAAGGTAAGTGGATGTTGAAGTCACAGTGGCCCCTAAGACACCAGGCTTGCAAGCAGATGAGCCTTAGCTGATAGGGTTAGAATGCCCCCAGGGAGATAGGAGACAACCTCTGGGTCTTTCAAGGTGGAAACTGAAACAAATACCTGGCGCTTGACAGGGCTGTTTTAGAAAAAAGGACTAGAAGAAAACAAAATATTAACTAGTTGCCTTGGGGTTGAGGTTAAGATAGATAGATGTCACAGAAAAACTCAGTAGAAAGAAAGGAGTCCTGAGCTCGTGGGGAAGGGAAAATAGTCAAGGAGTCCTTCCTCGAGGAGGGGCTGCTGGAGCTGGCTATAGCATCAATCTGCCAAGGCCAGCACCTGAGATTCGAGCCCAGTTCTCTTAGTTCTGCTTTCTGGAATGCTTTTGCATACCTGTGCTGCCAGGAATCCCTGTTCAAATTTCTAGCCAGCCAATGTAGATAAACTTTTTTCTTTCTCTTGCTTTTGTTCTCCGGTCAAAAGCAAGAGAAAAATTTTATTCTCACAAATTTCTAGGTCAGCTGATCTAGGTTCAACTGATATATACACAAGGCTCAGCCAAGCAGCTCTACTTCCGGTTGAGGACTGGCTGGGCTGAGCAACTATATTGATTGGATTTGGGTTTGTTCCATGTTGGGGGCAGCTCCTTCTGGGTCCCATGCTGAAGTTGCATCAGCTACCCAAGGCATACTCTTCTTCTTCTTGTTTTTTTAATCCTCACCCAAGGTTATGTTTTTACTGATCCTTAGAGAAAGAGGAAGGGGGAGAAAGAGAAATATTGATCATTTGCCTTCCCTACAGAACCCAACTGGGGATCAAACCTGCAGCCTTTTGGTGTAAAGGATGATCCTCCAACTGAGCCACCCTAAGGCTGCGCTTGTGGATTGCTGGAGCACAAGAGGCCAAGTAAAATCACATGGGCAAAGAAATATTTGGAGGAATAAATGTTGGGAATTTTCCAAAATTGACAGACACTACACCATAGATCCAAAACACTCAACACCAAGCAGAATAAATTTATATACACAAGGCATATCGTGTTCAAAATGCTTACACAGAAAATCTTAACCCAGGAATAAAGTGGCATATACAAAGGATTCTTAAAGACAATGGAATTGCTTTAGTGTTGAAAGGAAAAAAAGAAAACCCAGAATCCTATGCCCAATACAAATAACTTTAAAAAAAAGGAAAAATGCCTTTCTCAGATAAAAACTGAAGAAATACATTGCCAGAAGACCTATAAGAAATACTAAAGGAAATTTTCCAGGCATAAGGAATATGACACCAGACAAATTTAGATCTATACAATAAAATTAAGAATACTGAAATGGGCCCTAGCCAGTTTGGCTCAGTAGATAGAGCATTGGCCTACAGACCAAAGGGTCCTGGGCTCGATTCCAGACAAGGGCATGTACCTTGGTTGCAGGCTCTACCCCAGTCCAGTCCCTGATTAGGGCTCAAGCAGGAGGCAACCAATGATGTGGTTCTCTCTACATTGATGTTCCTGTCTTTCCCTCTCTTTTAACTCTCCCTAAAAATTTTCTCAGGTGAGAATTAAAAAAAGAATACTGGGAGTGGAATAAATGAAAAAATTTAATTACCTTTATTGAAGTTGGCAAACTCTGTAAAGGAGCAGATAAGTATTTTAGGTTTTGCAGTTGATGATTTCTACTGCAACCACTCTACTGTTGTAGCATAAACAAACAGTCTTAGGCAATAAGCAAATGAGCATGGCTGTTTCAATAAAACTATTTTTGAACTGAGATTTAAATTTCATATTTTACGTGCCACTAATCTTGATTTTTTTTTTTTTTTTCCTCTCTCCATTTAAAATTGTTAAAGGCCATAGAATGTCAAGTAGCGGGCTGGTTTTGGTTTGTGAATGGACCATCCTTTGCTAACCCCTGGTCTAAAGCAAAAATATTAGCAATGAATTGTGTGTTTATAACATATGGATAAACGAATTGTAAAATCATACGATGAAATGTTGAGCAATAAAAAAATAAACTTGATACATGCAGCAACATGGATTAGTCTTAAAATAATTTTGTTGACTGAAGCCATACCAAAAAGACTACATTCTGTATGATTCCATCCATTTAAAATTCTAGAAAATGCAAACTATAGCCACAAACTATAGTTAAATGTCTGCAAGTGTGGGGTGGGGCAAGCAATGGGAAGAGATGGGGGAAAGAAGGGATTTTAGATGAAAATAGAAGTATGATAACAAGAATAGGAGGAAGGAAATGGGAATTTACTGTTGTAAGGTCTTTAGATTACATGAAGCAGGATATTATTTGAAGGCAAACTGAAACCGATTAAAGATGTGTGTTATAAATCCTAGGGCAATCATTAAAATCTTTCACCTTTTCCCACTCAGCTCCAGGGTTTTGGACAAGGCTCCATCCCTGGCTCAATGGTAGAGCATGAAGTTCAGCCCTAACCAATGGGCACATGGTGACTACAGTGACTGGTTCAGTCTAGGCAGGTGACAGTAAGACAAACACTCTTCTTGGAAATGCTGAGACTAGGAATTTAAGGTATTCACAGTCTGGTGTAGAAAGGATGGTGAGACCAGGCTGCCAGGGTCGTATTAAGACCCTGAAGGCCTATGTGGGGTTGTAATTCAGTCAACGTGAAGAGGTGGGCAGCTGAGAGGTGGAGATGGGGAATGCAGAAGGGCAAGAACTTCAGTTATGTGAGCCAATAAATATGCCTGAGCTTTTTTTTTTTCTTGCTTTTTTTTAATATATTTTATTGATTTTTTTTTTACAGAGAGAAAGGATTTTTTTTATAGAGAGCTAGGAACAAAGGATGAGAGAGAGACATCGATCAGCTGCCTCCTGCACACCTACTACTGGGGATGTGCCTGCAACCAAGGTAAATGCCTTTGACCAGAATTGAACCTGGGACCTTTCAGTCCGCAGGCTGATGCTCTATCCACTGAGCCAAACCGGTCAGGGCACCTGAGCTTTTTTGAGGGTGAGATTTTTCAGTTGCTTGTTGTGTAACAAAATACCACAAATTTAATTATCTTAGTTTTTGCAGTGCAGGTATCCAAGTGTGGGTTAGAGAGGTCCTTTACTCAGGTCTCACCAAGCTTACTATTGGCCACATTTAGTTCTTCTGGTATAAGACTGAGGCCCTCCACTCCAGAAGCTGCCTGCTATACCCTGTTTGGCCTTCTCCACAACATGGGAGTTCATTTCTTAAAAAGCAACAGGAGAATCTCGGCTTTGAATTTCTCCTTCAGAGAAGGCCCCCAGCTTCTTTTAAGTGAATCATCTGATTAGGTCTGCCCAGGTCAAACTCCCTTTTTAGGGATCCTGGTTTTATCTGCAAATCTCTTCATCTTTGCCTTCCAGCATCACCTAATCACAAGAGTAAAATCCCATCATATTCAAAAGTGCTGCCCACACTCAAGGGGAAGAGGATCTGTTACAGCCTAGCATGGGTTTGGTGTTCCATAAGCAGTTGTAGGGATAAGTAAAGGTGATCCTTGTGTTGGAAATGAAGATGAAAATAGGTGACATCAAAGACCACGTTCACTGCTACATTTAATTCTACCCTGCTGACGTCATCCAGTCCAAACTCCCGAGAGATCCTGCCTGACCTGCTCCAGCACACGTCTGCCCTCACTAGTGTCAAAGTCTACTTTCTCTTTCGTACTGTGCTATAAGAACACTAAAGCACACTTTCTAGACTGATTTGCTTTCTCTTAGCTTCGTGATAGTACCTGTGCTATTTTCTCAGCTAAAATGCTCTTCCCTGCACCAACTGACTGACTGCTCCCACCCCTCTATAAAAGTTTAGAAATTTTCCTTCATCACCCCTCTGTGTGGTTTGGGCTTCTACAACCTCTTAAGCTTCTTCCCCCCTTTCTAGAACTTTTCACCTCATATTTGAAAAGTCCATCTCCCTAACAGGCTGAGCTATCCAGGAAGGTAGAGAAGAAAGCTTCATTATGTTGGTCCTAGCACTGGGCTGGACTGGTTAAGGTCCATGAATATTTGTTGAACAAACAAATGGGTTCAGTAATCTACATGTTTGTAACTTGGGATTTTCCAAGATACATGTGCTTCCTGATGTGCTTTGGCAGACCAGCCCAGCCCAGCAAGCTCTGGCTTACCTACAAGCTCCAAGCTCAGGTAACAAGGCAATGGATATGACCATTACCATGCTTGAGTAAGCTCATTTCTGTTGATCCAGGAAGGCTTTTTTTTTTAATTCCCAAGTCCCTCGGCCAGTGTTGCTCAGTGTTTGAGCATTGACTCATGAACCAGGAGGTCACTGTTCTATTCCCAGTCAGGGCACATGCTCCAGATTGCGGGCTCAATCCCCAGTAGGCGGACAGGAAGCAACCGGCCAATGATTTCTCATTGGTGTTTCTCTTCCTCTCTCTGAAATCATTTTCTAAAGAATACATTTTAAATAAATGGTAATTCATTATTTTAAACAATTCTCATTTGCCACCTAGATCTCCTTTCAAAGAGAGCATTAGGAATTATGAGGCGAAATGACTGATCATGCTGACATAGAGTTCCATGGTAATGAACTGTAATGTGCTGCACACAGCTTGGTTATCAGCCTGGGACAGGAACTGGCTATCTCCATCTTGCTAAGCACCTGGGAGTTGCATGACCCTCTTTTTTTTTTTTTTTTTTTTTTTTTTTTTTGCCCCTGAGAGCTAGCCCAAGCCTCACAACAACAATATACTGCTTAGCCCTAAAATTGTGATGATGGGGAGGAGAGCAGGTCCTTGTCCCATCATTACTATAGGCAAGAATCCACCAGCCAGCACAGTAACAAGGAAATAAATACCCCAAATTGCTTGAGTATATTACTCCCAAATTGGAAAGACAATTCTTTAGGACAATAAGCATCTTTTAACCTCAACTACAATTTAGAATCGCGACTAGACATGTTTTAGACTCACAGTACTAATATTTTTGCATTAAGCAATCCCAAAACATCAATATTAAAGTCTTATAATATTTAAGATAATTTTGGAAATTCTGAGATTCTTGTACTGATTACAAACATGTATTTGAATAATAGATTTGACTTGTGATTTTAAGTGAAAGTCTTATTAAATTTGTATTGACACATTAAAAAGAACTCAAGACATGTCCATCTTGAATGAGTGGCCAGTTCTGTACAATTCAAAGGGGGACACTGGTCACATAATCGTCTGTGTGGAAGGCGCCTCTTGGCGTTGTGCAGGGAACAGCCTGCGGAATCACATAAAAGGGTTCTGATAAAAGCCTGAAGTCGCCAAGTATGAGGGCAGGAGTACTTGGGTAGGTGAGACAAGAGGTAAAATTCTTGTACGCAAAAACACGAGCTTTTAATTGTGAAGCAGTTACTATATGCTTGGTAGTAGTCTAAGCACTTTCCCGATAACTCTGAGCTCGGTACTCTCATTAGTATCAGTACCACTTTACAAATAAGAAAAGCAAAATACGTGTCAAAACCAGGTCCGGAACGCGTTTGCTCAAGAGCGCCGCGCTCTATAGACTCCTGGAGGAACTCGCTCGGGGCGCCCCCTGCGCTTTCCCTCCGTTCAGGGCGCCTGCGCGCCTGCCCGGAGCCGACGCTCGTTCTCGCGTAGCGAGCGGTCACGTGCCGGGACGGGGGCGGGGCCCGTGCGCAGCTGCCTAGGCGCCTGCGCGCCGCGGGCTACGGAGCCGGGCCTGCCGGGAAGTGCGGGCGCGTTTTCCCTCGGCTCCGCCACCAGCCGGGGCTCGGGCCCGCGCCCGGGCCCCCGGGACATGGCCTCCCCCAGGGCGCAGGGCGACGACCCCACCTCCAGTCACTGGGACGACGACGACGCGGAGACCGCAGGTACGGAAGCCGGCCGGGGCGTCGAGGGGTGGCCTGCGGGGACGGCCCGAGGGACAGGGGCGACCCTAGGAGACGGGGACAGCTGTCGGCGGCGCGGGTCCCGGCGCCAGCGGCGCTGGACGGGCCACCTGGGTGCGCCGAGGGCCGAGGGCCGGGGCGGCGGCAGAGGAAAAGGCCGAAGGGAAAGAGAGCCTTAGGTTAGGGGGTCCACGGATGCGGAGACGGAGGAGCCGTGGTGGCAGAACCGAATCCCCAGTGGGAAGGACGCGGGGGCTCGGCTCGGTGGCGTCTGAACGCGAGAACTGGGTCTGAAAAGTGGGGCTGAGCCTCACCCGGCCCGAGACTGTCCGGCCACGTCCACAGACTCCTGCCGCCTCCCTAGTTGTAAGGCAGGTTTCCAGACTTCATCGATCGCCGTCTTGACTTCCGTGGTGTGAGTGAACACACATTTCTTTGAATTGCCATAGCATCCAATCCTTTGAAAGTGCACCGTCCAGGGGTTCTTAGTGCTCTCACAGGGCGGTGCAGTCATCACCACTGTTTAATTCCAGAACATGAATATTCCAAAAAGAAAGCCCATGATGGACTGACTTCTCATTCCCCAATCTCCCTCCACGGTTCCTGGCGGACAACTAATCTAGTTTATGTCTCAATCCCGTCCCACCTGTGTTCATGTTATTTAATTGTGTAAAAAGCTATTTCCTATTTTTATACTGTTTCATCCTAAGCAGTTATTCCTGTGAAATCACGATTTCATTGTGCATTGTTTTCAAATGTGTTTTACATAGTAAGATATGAGTATTCACGTTTATTCTGTACCAAGTAAAAGTATTCACGTTTATTCTGTACCAAGTAAAATAATCTCTTTTTTCCTCCGGGGAAGATAATTAGCTTTCCCACTTCTCCATCCTCTAATGAGTGGTGTCCATGCTAGAACCAGTTGACATATTCAGCCCACGTATTATGATGAAGCACCTGGTATCCACATCTTGTTTCTCTGGACTCGTTTTCTGTTATTCCCCTTTTCTCCTGCTCTCGTCCTGGATGGAAGTGGAACTCGCTCATCATATTACTTCCCTGGGCCCTTTGGCCTTGTAACCCTTTGATGGTGCATGACATCCCTCTTGGTGGCATCATAGTCCGTGCCCCAAGTGGTACAGGCCTTGTGATCTGTTGTCGTGCAA